ACTACTACTACTACTACTACTACTACTACTACTACTACTACTACTACTACTACTACTACTGCTGCTGCTGCTGCTGCTGCTGCTGCTGCTGCTACTACTACTACTACTACTACTACTATTGCTTCACGTCCTTCACCTCTTCGCTCCTCCTCCTCCTCCTCCTCCTCCTGCTCCTCATTCTCTTCTCGTCTGGTTTCTCCACTTCCCTTCTCTCCGGAGTGCAGCTGAGGCCCAGGACACCTGTAAGCTCCCTCAGCGCACTATCCCGCCCCATGTGAGCAAAGCACACAGCACGTACACTCCCTCTCAGCACCCTTCTTCCGATCGAGAAGATCTGTTATCACAATATGCACTCTGCAGGTTTGTTTCAGTTGGAATATCGGGTTTGGATCAAATTGACGATCACGTGATCGCCGTTGGAACTGGCAAGTGCGCCACCTTGGACGGCGACACCATGCAGCGCCAGCTGCCCTGCCACAACACCGTACAGATGTGATGGAGGAGAGGGAAGGCGACCAAGCACAGCTGTGGCTTGACATTCTTCTACGGCAGTAGGCTATGCGTGTTTTGAGTGAGTGGCGGTCAGTGTGCCGACCAGCAAGAGCATCACAGACCCAGTGGGCATGATGAGGTTCAACATTGGCAAATTGTGCACGGCCGTCTTCCAAGTCATGCCTCTGTGAGCCCACTTCCGATGGAATTTCTCAGCGGTTGCGGCAGTCTCAGACATCCGGCGTGGAGAGTTGTTTCGATGCCAGCACTCAGGGTAACAGGTCATTGGCCTCGGAGAGGGAGTCTAGAGCCCTGGGGCCACGCACACAGAGCATGACGGTGGGTGTCTGGGGTGATGCCGTCAAGTCGTCGAGAGCTGTATGGCCATCCCCCCCGCCTGAGTCCCATAGAAACGCGTCTGCTGCGGTCATCTCTCATTAAGTGATGGTCCTCCGCGCAGGGCTTCACTCCTGGGCCGATTAGTGGAGGTGATCGAATGATTCTTGGATAGTTCGGGGCAACGGTGCCTTTACTGGTGGTTGTAGCATTGTTGACGATGCAGCAGCAGCAGCAGCAGCAGCAGCAGCAGCTGCGGTGGCAGCGGTAGTAACGAAGAGTACGGAGTGGCCGCCTCCCTCCCCGCCTGGAGGTCGACGCTGCGGGCGCAGCCGAGGGGTGGGACAGCGACACAGAGCTTGAGCTCAGGCATGCCCTCCCCCGCTGCGGCACTGGGCGCTTCCAGCAAGCAGCGGCCCTTGCAAGAAGAGAAGCGAGAGGTGCCGATCTCGATGCGCTTCCCTCGAGAGCGCTTTTTGGGGGTCCTTCTGAAAGGGCCCTCGTCGCCACAGCCAGATTCGCCTCGAGATCTTGGCCAGAACCCACCCCGAGAGAGGCCTGGGGAGTAGCGCTGTCGGTATGTCCTTGTTCGCCCGCTGCGGCACTGGGCGCGTCGTGTGAGCACGATCGGCCGGAGGTCCCTGGGTGGTTCTGGGGACCATTCCCCCCGAGGGGGGAGGCACGCAGGGGGAGGGACGACGACGACGACGACGACGACGACGACGACGACGACGACGACGACAACGCAACTCCCTTAGGAAAACCTCTGAAAACGCAGGCCCCCGTTAGACCCCCGGAACCGGCTCTGGAGACCCCATGAGGGCCAGACACCTCGGGCGTCCCGAGGCCCCACGCAGAGGGCCCGAGCGACCGTGCGATCCGTCACAAGTCGCTCGATGTCTGGCTGTGTGCCGCCGTGCTACTCCCCACCGCCGTTCCCTCCACTGCGCCTTCTCGCGCCCCTCCCGACACCCTGCTGCAGGAGAGTAAGGAGAGGTTGCCAAGTCTCTATCCCGGTCCCCTGCTGCTCTCCCGCCAATGGTTGCTACTTCCCGCTGCAGTCGGACCGAGGTACAAGATTGAGGTCGGTTCGGGGAGGGTACCCTAATGTTTTTCGTGTTCGTTGGATCTTCTTGTGCACCCTGGTTAGGGTACCCTCGGATATTCTGTGTGTTCTGGCCGACGGAGCGTCTTCTGTTCTTCAGGGGCGTTCTTCCTGGCCTAGGTCCGACTGTATTTCTCAGGCTCCTTCCAGTTGGGTTGTGGAAGCCCGACAGTGGAGAGGAATCATGCTGCCAAATAATTTCCAGATGTCTAACCATATTTTTAAAACATGTCTTGAATCCGTGAAGCATGATTTAAACATGGTTAGAACAGGTTTAAAACACATTTCAGGCACACCCTTGATTCAATGACAAGACTGTTAGAGTTAGAGTGTCCATCATTGCCCCATCCGGAGTACGGTCTGTCATCCCCTGGCGACGACGGGCTCGACCGCGGGGGGGCGGAGGGGGAGGTCAAGCAGTGGCGGAGCGTCCTGGCTCTCCCATAGGCCCCCCGAAGGATGCTCTAATCACCTGCTGTGGTTTGCACGACGTGTTCTTTAAAACCAGTTTGACTGAGCCTGTCTTGTTTTTTATTGTGGTTAGAGTAATATTATGTTCTAGTCACCTTCGTTTTCGCGGATCACAAAGAACAGGCTTCTTCATATCTGCCGTCCTTGTTCTCTGCCACGGCACGCTTGGAAAGTCTGGGTGATTGCCATGGCCAGACAGACCCCCTCCGCGTCGTGAAAAACATCGGGGGCCCTCGACGGGCCCCAGGTAACCAGCCTGGAATTGATCCCTATCCCTATGATGGGCAAGCCAAAAGCGGTGACCATCTTAGGGATAGGCCCTCAGAAACTGAGGGAATCCTTAAGGTCGGTATCGAGGTAAGGTGGTACCAAACATAGAGATAGAGATAAATTTCCAACTGGTAACCAGGACCGTCAAAATTCGACTCGGAACGAAAAGCCGGCCCCCGAGAAAGGGTCAGGACCTCGGGAACAATTAGTATGTTTCATGTCTGAGTTCACGTCGTAGGCCCCCCGGAGGTTTCGACCCCCAACATTGGCTCTTCATCCCGAGTCGTTTCCTTGGGGCCGGGCAGTGGTTTCAATCCTTGCGTCGTGCGTTCTATCGGCGCGACGGGGTCTCGGCTCCTGCCTGGCTTGCCGTGGGGCGACGGGCATCCTCCAGGAGGTCTGCAGACATGTGTGTAACAACGTGCACACACTTCGAATCCCCAAACGACTCCCCGTCTGCCTCGAAGAAGAAAAGGAAGAACAACGAATCCACAAACATACACTTTTTAGCGCTCCGCGCGGATTTCTTGGATCCGCGCTGTGCCCCCCCAGCGGCGCCTCCGGCGCCACCCCTGGCGCGCTTTGTGCGTCAGGGACGGGGGTCGCGGGAGCGAGCCAGGGGTGGCGCCAGAGGCGCTGCTGGGGGTCACAGCGCGGATCCAAGAAATCCGCGCGGAACGCCAAAATTTTCTGTTCTATGGCGTTTTGCTCATCTTCTACTGCCTCCTTCCCCTGCTGCTCCCCGCCACCCTAGTCCCGCCGAAGCTGGACCTGGAGCCCGGCCGAACATCGAGAGGCATCTTGCGTCGTGGTTCGCGATCCCACTGCCCTCTCGCGCCTCTCGGGGCTGCCACTGAGGCTCACTCAACCTTCGACGACAGCTACCTACCCTCGATCCTCCTCCTCCTCCTCCTCCTCCTCCTCCTCCTGCTGCTCGGTGCAGAGAGCGCTGCCGGTGTTGCTCCTCCTCCTCCTGCTCCTGCTCCTGCTCCTCCTCCTCCTCCTCCTCCTCCTCCTCCTTCTCCTCCCCCTCCTCCTAAGCACTTGATTTTCAGATTTCCATCGTGGGCGGCCGAGTGCGGGGGCACTCGGACGCTGCGAGAGCGGGCCGCCCTCAGTGAAGCGAACAGCTCCAGCACGAGGAACATCCGCCGCAGCGGTTGGGGTGCCGAGGATCACCCGCCCTCGCAACCCCAACCTTCGCGGCAGAAGATGACACGACCGACAGGGGAGGAAGGACCGCCGGTTCCGCGCCGAGGCGACGAACGCGTGGGGGGGGACCCCGCGCCGCCCCGACGGAGCAGAGAAACCTGCCCCCCCCCCCGGGGGAAGGAGACCCCGCTTTGGGGGCCGTCCCCGAGGTCCGGGGGCTTCGACCCCGAAGGCCCGATGCTCCCCGCCTGCATCAGGGGCGCGTTGGCCCGACACCCCGCTGATGGGGGTGCCCCTCTGGGGCCTCCTCCTAAGCACCTCCCTCCTCCTCCTCCTCCTCCGCCTCCTCCTCCTCCTTCTCCTCCTCCTCCTCCCTCCTCCTCCTCCTCCTCGTCCTCCCGCTCCTCCTCCTCCTCCTCCTCCTCCTCCTCCTCCTCCTCCTCCTCCTCTCCGCTCCTCCTCCTCCCTCCCCCTCCTCCTCCTCCTCTCCTCCTCCCCTCCTGCTCCTCCTCCTCTTCCTCGCTCCTCCTCCTCCTCCTCCTCTTCCTCCTCCTCCTCCTCCTCCTCCTCCCCCTAAACCCCTCCCCCTCCTCCCTCCTCCCCCTCATCCTCCTCCTCCTCCCTCCTCCTCCTCCTCCTCCTCCTCCTCCTCCCTCCTCCTTCTCCCTCCCTCCCTCTTCTCCTCCTCTCCTACCTCCTCCTCCTCCTCCTCCTCCTCCTCCTCTTCCTCCTCCTCCTCCTCCTCATCCTCTCCTCCTCCTCCTCCTACGACTCCGCCTCCTCCCCTCTCCTCCTCCTCCTCCTTCTCCTCCCCCTCCCCCCTCCTCCTCCTCCTCCTCCTCTCCTCCTCCTCCTCCTCCTCCTCCTCCCCCTCCTCCTCTTCCTCACCTCCTCCTCCGCCCCCTCCCCTCCTCCTCCTCCTCCTCCTCCTCCTCCTCCTCCTCCTCCTCCTCCTCCTCTTCTCTGCGCCTCCTCCTCCTCCTCCTCCTCCTCCTCCTCCTCCTCCTCCACCCGGAGACCAAGGCCCACCCGAACCCTTTCTCTCAGGAGGCCGCCCGCAGCTAGGCGCGGGCCGCCCCGCAAGCCGTCGAGCTGCCCCATCGGCAGAATCGACCGGAGGCGCCTCGGCGGCAACATCTGCGAAGAAGACGTGGCCCCATCCTCCTCCTCCTCCTGCTCCTCCTGCTCCTCCTGCTCCTCCTCCTCCTCCTCCTCCGAAGCACCTCCTCCTCCTCCTCGTCGTCCTCCTCCTCCTCCCCATTATCCTCCTCCTCCTCCTCTTCCTCCTCCTCCTCTTCCTCCTCCTCCTCCTCCAAACGTGAGTTTTCGAAGGATCGCGCGGACACCTCGGGTCTGCGCTGGAAGCCCCTCCCTGGTGCACGGAGCGCGGCAGAGACGACGCCAGAGGCGCAGCCAGAAGGGGGTCCCTGTGCAGATCCAAGAAATACGCGCGGAGCTCTGTTTGTGCAACTTCGTCATTTCCTTTTCCTGTTCGTTCTTTCACCTAGGCGCAGAGGAGGGTGGCGGGAGGGGGGAGGACTTCTTTGAAACACCCCTGCGTTTTGGAAGGTGCGGGCCCTATCTGCAGATGCAGGGTGTCCTCCTCCCCCTACGGTAGGTTCATGCGGCGATGGCGCGCAGGCGACGCTGGCGAAAGCGTTCAAGGTCGAGTTCTGCGACGCGGAAGCACCAAGGGGCACGGTGACGCCATTTGACCCGATTGAATTCAGCCTTGAACGATCGAGGCCGTGATCGGTTCAATGTTGAACGATCGACGCGGCGGGAACAACTTTTTCGCGCGCCGATGCCGCACGAGCCTACCGTGCAGGGGCAACGATAGAGGGGAATGTGCATTGGGGGAGATGCATCGCCGATATGGGTATGATAGCCCCACCCCACCCAGGAGCGTGCGGACTCGCTGTCGTGGGCCTATCGCCGACTTGTCGGCGATGTATCGCTGATTCCAGGTCGATGCTTCCCCCCCTGTGCCAGTCCCCCCCCGGTCGTTGCCCCTCACTTGTGCGCGCCGCCACCCCCCTTTCCTTTTCCCAGAGGGGCGTGCCCCTGCGCTCCGTCGGCGTCGCACGCGGGAATGTGGCTGCCCACGAGTTCGCTCCTCCTCCTCCTCTCCTCCTCCTCCTCCCTCCTCCCTCCTCCTCCCTCCTCCTCCTCCCCCTCGCCTCCTCCTCCTCCTCCTCCCCCTCCTCTTCCTCCTCCTCCTCCTCCTCTCCTCCTACCTTCGTTCCTCCTCCCTCCTCCTCCTCCTCTCCTCCTCCCTCTTCTCCTCCTCCTCCTCCTCCCTCCTCCTCCTCCCCTCCTCCTCCTCCTTTTTCCCTCCTCCTTCTCCTCCTTCTCCTCGTCCTCCTCCTCCTCCTGCTCCTCCTCCTCCCTCTCATCGTCGTGCTCCTTCTCCTCCTTGTCGTCATCGTCGTCCTCCTCCGACCCGCCGAGGCTGGGCCCCCTGGGCCTGCCGCTGCGCAGCGGGTCGGCGGCAGGCCGCGGCCCAGGGCGGGGTCTGCCCGCCCGCCCGCCAGGGGTCCGCCGCCGCCAGTAGCTCTCGGCGGCTGCGGCGCTGCTTCCGCGTCGGCGGGCCCTTCCGGGGGAGGAGGAGGGGATGAGGAGAGGAAGTGGGAGGAGAGCTGAGGAGAGGAGGAGGGGGGGTGGAGGAGAAGGGAGGAGGGGGAGGAGTAGGGGGACGGGGAGGTAGGAGCTGAGGAGGAGGAGGAGGAGGAGGGATGAGGGGGAGAGGAGGAGGAGGAAGGAAAAAAAAAAAAAAAGGAGGAGGAGGAGGAGGAGGCGGAGGAGAGGACGAGGGAGGAGGAGGGGGAGGGGAGGGGACAGTAGGGCTCTCGGCGTCATATCTGACATCCTACCCCTCCCTCCCATCCCTTACCATGGCGTAGATCCCCACTCTACTCGCACAGTCGGATGTCGAGCCGGGCAATGATCCCGAAAGGGTACGCGATGCATTGTAGAGCACGGCATGGCATGGCGTAGAAGAGCACCGCAAAGCGTAGTATGTCACAGCATGGCGTGGCGTGGCGTAGTGAAGCATTGCATCACAAAGCTTTGCAACGCAAAGCATGGCATCGCACAGCGGCCCCGAACATAACATTGCATAGCATGGCATTGAAGATCAAAGCGTAGCATGGCATATTATGACGTGGCACTTACGCACTGGATATGACAGCTGCAGCTGACGGCATGGCATGGCGCAGCGGAACGCAACCTAGCATTGCATTGCATGCCCTGGCATGACACGGGAAATGACGCCAGCGCTGCAGCGGGAGCACGATTCAGAACGAGCGGAAGCGCGGAAATGAGGCCGGCGCTGCAGCGGGAGCACGATTCGGAACGAGCGGAAGCACGGACATGAGGCCAGCGCTGCAGCGGGAGCACGATTCGGAACGAGCGGAAGCCCGAAAATGAAGCCCGCGCCTCAGCGAGAGCATCATTTTGAAAACAACTCAAGCGAACACCCAACTCCGGGAAATCCTGTGTGTAAAAAACAGAACGCGGATGGGTGCCCGCTATCTTCCGCACGCCATCAGGGGATGGAGGAGAGTGTATTCATATGGTGCAAGTGTGGAGGAGGAGGAGGAGGAGGAGGAGGAGGAGGAGGAGGAGGAGGAGGAGGAG